GTGTGTGTTGGTTCAAGCGCCAATGTCTTTTATACATGCAATTGAGTATGTGACGTATTCACTTCGATCCTCTATTCCAAGCCTACAATGGGCGTGGTGGCAATTTTCTTGAGTTTCCAAATTCTCACCAGTTGTAGGTTTGTCACTCTGATTCCATCTGTCCCATGCAACACGCTTGATCATTTATTAAAACATTTCTTAATACGCCAAACCAATAACACGTTAAAGTGAAAGACCTTCCTGGCACTTTTTTTCTCAAAGGGGATTATGGATATCAGTAGCTGGTGACATTGTTTATTTTTTTTAAACACAACACACAAACAAAAGTGATCTTGTTTAGTTTAACACCGATGAAACTGGTGCGGCATATTTAACCTTCAAGCATCCTATGACTGAACGAAATTCACGATTACGTAACATACTATGAAGCCACGATTGCTAAAATCAATGCTCCACTTCAGCCAGTGGGTCATTTGACTCTTAACCATTCGTAACCTGTCGTAATCCGACAGAAGGCTTCCTCTCAAGGAAACCTTTTAAAGATTTGTCGACTTTGTCAAGAAAAAATATGAGTCAACTGAACCAACAAGGGTGTAATTACCGGTCAGATCCAACTCAGCATGGTTGCTTGTACTACTCAATGTTTCAGTCACATGCTCATGGTCATTCCCAATCAAGGTGCTGTTCTGCAAAATTATTTTCTGGATTTGTTAGATTTTTGCCAAATGAGACGATATGCAGCATGAGCAAACAAAGGTTTGAGTGTTATATATATCCAATTTAACGACACTGGGCATTACTCATAACATCAATAAAAAGTATGCGGAATGTCAATTTGCAGTTTCTCAAATCTACTTTCTTGATAATTTTTATTTTCACCAAGTCAGACTATGCATCTCCTGTCAATTAGATCCAATTCAAAAAGTTTTGGCATATTACTCAGTGCATCAGTAATGAGGAATGTCATCCCCGTCAAGTTGCAGTCACAAGAAACAGTGTCTAAATGTGTGAATAAGTCCTATACGGCTAGGTTGAGGTTACTCATCAGTCTAATGCTAAGTTATGTTTGCAGCTACAAGTCTACCCTGTGTCTTTGTCTTTCACCAAGCTAGACCATGCCTCACCTGAGCCACCAAAGATCAAACACGGTGACAAATCTATTCGTACAAGTGCTGACTCTCTACTCATAGCATTGGCAATATACTTCATGTCATCCCGTGTAACGTTGCAGTCTCTCAAGCGTATTTTCTGGATATGTTTTAGTTTCGCCATGGTAGACAATGCCTCACCTGAGCCTCCAAGCTCCACATTTGATGACACATCTAATTCAACAAGCTTCGGCATAGTACCCAGTGCCTCGGCAATATAGGGGACGTCATCCCCGGTCAAGTTGCAGCTCATCAAGTTTACTTTCTGAATCTGTTTGATTTTTGCTAAGTGAGACCATGCCCCACCAGAGCCACCAAGGGTTGGGTTCCAAAGCAGGTTCAACTCAACAAGATTTGTCATATTACTCAGTGCGTCGGCAATATGCGGAATGTCATCCCCCGTCAATCTGCAGCTCCTCCAGTCTATTTTCTGGATGGGTTTAATTTTCGCAAAATGAGACCATGCACTACCTGAGCCACCGAGGGTGTCATTGCCCGTCAGACCCAATTCAACAAGTTTGGGCATATTACTCAGTGCGTCAGCAATATGAGGAACGTCATCCCCTTTCAGGTTGCACTTCACAAAGTCTATTTTTTCTATATGTTCAACTTTCCCTAAGTGAGATAATGCAGCACCCGAGTCACCTAGGGTTGGATTATAGCCCAAATCTAATTTGATAACTGGCATTTTACTCAGTGCGTCAGAAATGTTGACAATGTCATCCCCTTTCAGATCACAGTCCCTGAACGCCACTTTCTTGACTTGTTTAATTTTTGCCAACTGTAACCATGCCCCACCTGAGCCACTGAGGGTTGGATTGTTAGACAGATCCAAGTCAGCAAGTTTTTGCATACTACTAAGTGCATCGGCAATGTGTGGAATTTCTTCCCTCGTCAGATTGCAGCCCATAAAGCATGCCGCCTGGATGTGCTGCATTTTCGCCAAGTGAGACCATGGACTACTAGAGCCGAGGGTCCTGTTGCCAGACAAATTCAATTTAGCAAGATGGGACGGTCTAACCTTGCGTTCCCTTCTAAAGTTGTACTGACGGCGATCTGTAACACTGATCGTGAAATCACGTTCATCAGTTTTACGCTCAATTGTTAACTGTGTCAACTGCATTTTGTTATTAAGACATGTTTGAATCTGTGTCTCACTAACTGTGCTTAGACTGAAAGAGATTATGGAAAGACGTTGCATTTCTTTGACGTAACGTGCAAACGTTTCACCGTATTCCTTCAGGTGACAACCTGATACATCCAAGTCAAGTACCCTATGAAGGCAAGTGTTCCCTCCACCCTTTGCTTGGTCAGTAACACAGTCTAGAAAATACACGATTGATTTCAAGACATCACTGCTGATATTTTGAAGACTTAAGTCGTTTGATAAAACACATTCAATGAATTGTTCGGGTGGAAGTTCGTCACACTGACTCTCTAAGAAGCAGTTAAGGGCCAAACATAAGGTTTTGTCGATATCCAGCCTTCCCCGACAACGAACTTTATCTGATAAAATACGTAAAATTGATGAAGCATTTTGCCCGTGATTGTCGCCACAGCAAAAGCGCAATAAGTACTCAAAACTCGGTGGAAAGGGGACTCCACGAAGAAACGTTTCAAATTTCAGGGCAGCTTCTCCAGCGCCTAGACTTTGGTAGTATTTACCAGCACAAAACTCCTGAAATGTCTTGTGGATAAAGTAAACATTTTTACAAGTATGAAGACCTTTGAGGACTCGTTCGCTGGTGAGAATACCGGCTGCTAATGCCTGATCAAGCACATCTTGATTAAAATCTCCTTCCCCAAAAGAGAGTTTTTGATTCAATGAAAGCAGACCATCAAAAGCAATTTTTCCGAGTGCTGTAACAAGGCTTGGTATCTGTTCTGTTGATATGCTCGTTTTGCGCTTGAATATGTATTCTACTGATTCGTTGTAAAGCCGTGACATAGTTTCAGGGAGGCTAGAGTTTTCTTTCCATAGAAGACACATTAATAATAGCAGCATTGGACTTTTGGCTAAATCCAAGAGAACAGTAGAAGATCTAATCCTTTCAATGAGGCCTTTGGCTTTAGAAAGATCATCATGATAAAATCTCTCCATATATGTCTTTATGTCTTCATCACCAAACCCCATGACATTAACATGAGCAAATGGCCTCTGTATTAAACATTTTTGTACCAGTTTGTCATAATGGGAGGGGCGGGTTGTTACAAATGCACAGCAATCTTTGTATTTCCCCTTTTGATTGAGAGTCTTTAGAATCGACCCGAAGTTTTTCTCCTCTGGGTTATCCATCATGAATTCATCAAAGCCATCCAAAAGAAATAACACTTCGTCTGCCCGGGTTGCAATGAATGCCGCCAAGTCTACTTTACTTATTTCTGTTGAATCTAATAACTGATCAAAAAGTGCGTCAATCAGATTCGATTCCTGTTTCAGGGAACGCATTTTCAAAACAAAGACGAGTTGGAACTGTTTCAGGACTGCAGCACCTTTAGCCCAATCGTACGCAAGTTTGTCAAAGAAAGTCGTTTTTCCTATCCCCGGTGTTCCTTTAAAAATCGCCCGATTTATTGGATGACCATCTTTTGACCTAAGTTTGAAAACATCACTGCACGATTCAACTTTTCCCTTCAAATCACATTCATGATCTTTTTCTAATTGCAACTTTGTATAGATATCCATAATGTGCTTTTGGTCATCATCGACCCATGGGAGCATCTGTACATAGCTACCTGTAGTTGGGTATGTTTTCTCCAGTACCTCCTTACACTTATCCGCGGCGCGTTGAGCTGCGTTACTATTTCCAGTTTTGCGTCATTCACCACTTCCTGTCTGCTCTCCTGTGTTTCCTGTACATTGCAAGAAAGCAATAACCAAATCATGTTGAGGATATTAATGTTGTAAATTCGATGATTCCTCGAGTGATTAAACAATTTCTAACTACTGCAGACTATAAAAACAACCGACCAAGCAGAAATCCACGCCCTTAGTTCCAAATATTTCCTTGATGTCACACGAGGGCACGGATTTTAAGAAGGGAAAGGACACAAAGCAGAGTGTGTACGAAGGGAATAAGTTTCGACAAATTGACGATCCCAGGACTTTTATTGAACTGCAGCATACCCCATTATCGCCATTACAGTGCTACCACTTAGAACGCTGATTATGTTTAATAATACATTCCCACCTAAAACCTTTGCTAATCATCCCTCCGAATGGAATTGATGTAAATATCCAATTGAAACATAATTTTGAGACATAATGACGACTCTTTTTTGAAGGGAATCCCTAATGTAACTCGTCACATTGTAAGAAAACAAATCCCTCAGATGTGGGATGTCACAATGACTAGACGTATAAAAGGATAGCAAAAACTTGAATTCATCTTAACTCAAAGAGATTGTATACATTAATCGTAAGAGCTGAACTGCAATCTATCCCCTCGATGTTGTTGCAGTTTACTTTTCACGAGCTAAGCCTTCAGGAGTTTTTTATTTTTTTTAGAATAAATCTTTCCTGTCTTTTTGACAATTATTTTGTGAAAAAACCGTTCTTGCGCAGCGGCACTTGTTCATTGACTGCTCAACCTAAATGTATGCCATTTTTCCACATTTTTCCGCGATGCAGGCGGGCTAGCAGCTTGTGGCCTCAAACTTCAAGTGACTTTAATAACAAAACCGTATGTGATTGTGTAAAAGTGTTTCTACATGCACACAAAGTTTCAACAACTAGAACGCAATACAACCGGGGGAGCAGAAATCTGCCCCACCCTGGCAAAATAGCCTCGCTCTTTAAGGGTTAAAGGCACGACTAAAGAAATCTTACCCATTTTTTGTACCACTTCCTGAAGCTCGACTCCGACCAAAGCTCGCTTCAATTTCTCAGTTGCCTTTTCTTCGTCGCTGTGCTTCCTGCGCCAAGCAACCAACATTTCCCAGCACTGCGCAGTGGTATCATTCTTGTTATCAGCCTGAAAGATCTTGATCTCACTATGTGTATAACCAAGACGCAGAGCAAGGTCTATCCACTTTGTTGATATCTGTCTTGATAATTCACGCAGTTTCAAGTCGGTCAGCTCGAATCCTGAAAAAAAAGGCAAGAATATCGTCACTGATTTTCTTTCCTAATTGAGATGATAACTTTGAAGGAACAGTATTATCTTCTTGATACATGAATTATTTTCACAATAGAATTATCTTTGACGGCCTCAGCCTTCAACAAATGACCACAAAACAATTTTTGTGCCGTGTTTTTGGCTACGATCCAGGCATGGCCAGTTTTAGCTGCTTATCTAACGGCAACTCTGTTCAGACTTCATTGCAAAAAATTAATCATTTCTGACTGCTTGAATTACAAATTTAGAATAAAGTTCAATATTTCAGTGTCAAATTCATTACTTCTTACACCTGCTGTAAGTCTCACGTATGCTTCGGAGGGAAATTATTAACTGCATAAGGTCCCACTGTTAGAGAAATTTGCATACGTAATGAAGGCAATGAGAATTCGCACTAGGCAAGCAGCTCCTTCACCTCATGAAAGTTGCGTCTCTCTTTTTGGAAATACAGATATCTGCAGAACACATTTTTATGGTACGATGAGGCCTTTTTCTAGCATGTTTCGTAAAAGAAAATGCAAAATATTACACAGTGGTCAAAACAAGTGATTTGCGAAAACCTCATATAAATAAGCGGTGGTTTGTTTACGTTTTGATGCGAGTTTTGAAGGCTCGAAAAAGTAAGTCCCAAATTCCCGGAAGTTTTCAAAAGTGGAATGTGGCGGAGGATGTGTTCTAGATTTGCTGGTAGTTTTCGCAATTTTTTTCTCTTCCCGACTGGACATGTTTGCATCTCAAACTTGCCATACAGCTTTATTACGTAACTCAACACTAATTCCGTTTATCCTGCATAATCCTATGACATTGTGAGCAATAATTCAGTGACTTGGAAAAAAGACGAACACAATTGGAGACTTTGACATATAAACATTTCACGTATGATCACGCCCCCTCACTTAGTTTATGCGCATGTGTACCGAATCCCACTGTAGCCAAAAGCCTGTAAAAAAGGGCTCTTGACTCGGACAGGTGGACCCCAAAAGTAATCGATCAACATCGAGCTCAGAAAAAGTTTTTTGCCCCTTATTTTCATACCGATTAGTATTTCAACACTTAAAGTCCCTTTGGATAACTTGCACACGATAAAAATCCATTGTCTGCCAGATTTTTGGCCGTCTTTGTCACGTACCTCCAAAAGTAACAGAATCAGGAGTTCGAAGTGAAGCCAACATTTTAGAGTTTTTTCAGTTTTGCCGAGTTTTCACTGCCATTTTTCTACTTGTGAGTATTGGGGGAACATCATAAATTCTTTAATTGAGAGAGTATCATGCAAAGAGGAAACCGTATGGATGAAAACGGAAAGTTTTTGTTTGTGCCTGATAGTAGGGCAATTTACCCAAACGCACCGGCATCAAGGTGTTTTTACATACCATGCCACAAATCCGGGTTCTTTGATTTTTTTGACGATCTTTTTTCACCAAAAGCTATTATATATCACCATTTGATAGACTCCTGGTAATTTATTCACACACAAGGTCTTCAAGGGAAACGGCAAAACAATCCCCACATGGGTCACCGCCGATGTACGTCGTCTATACATCGTAAATGCATACACAGTCTATAGGGGAAGGAACATATGTGATTTAGACAGGCAGCTCTTGTTGAAAACAATGGCGGGGTACCGTAACCGAGATGGCACCTGACTGAATCCAAACGCGTGGGCAAATTCACCCGGAAAGGGAATTTAAGTAAACATGAAAAATTCCAGTCGTAAATTCAATGAAACCATTTTTCGATAGTGAAACAGCTATAGAAATAAGTTATTTGAACTTTTAGCGTTATCCCAACTATTACCACTTTTGGGAATGTTTGAGTTTCCTTTTTTAAATTGATTATTTTTTATTTGTAATAATATTTATGGGAAATACTGAATAAATGAAATCATGAACAAATTAAATCCTATGTTTCCATGCACCTCTGAATCTTTCATTAAAAGTACGGTAAATTCAATTCAATTCAATTCACACGTATTTCCATACTCTT